GGGATTTCCTTACCTGGATGATTGAGCCTGCATCAGGACATCTGTCTGTATTATTATATTTTTCATATACTGATGTAGACATATACTTACTGTACCTTCTCTTAAATACCAGCCTCCTCAAGGACTAATAACCGGTTTGAGCAGCTGCACAAGGTGACCTTTGACAATGTGGCGGTGTACCTCCAGAAGAAACAACAAAGGCTGGAGGAGCAGCACCTGAAGAGGAGCGGGGGTCAAAGAGCAAAGGGCAACAAGAGGGTCAAGGAGGAAACTGAGTCGGTGACTCAGCCATTTGCCTGAAGACACTTGAAGAACATTTATTTCCTTGTTTTGATGCATTGATAAACTGTGTGAGCTTCACCACACAGGCCCGATGAGGGGTTCTTATGTTTGACTCAAATTTCTCTTATTTTTAAAGAAAAATGTTGTAGAAACATTATCATTAAAGTCTGCCCTATGTTTCCACCATCACCAGTGAAGGAAACATGCTGTTCACGGAAATGCACCATATGCACTCACACTGTCTACGGGTTAGAGATTGCATGCATGCAGTGTGTGGTAGCAGCAGCTGAGGAATTGAAGATTTACTACTAAACTTCCTCAGGGTTTTTCCAGAGCAGGATTCTGACGTGTAGGAAAAGTGAGTGAGTTATGAGAATGAATGAAACAGGAAAATGTGTTCCACAACTTAAAAGAATATGAGACTAGGATTTAATTAAACACTCTGGGTTTCACAGGCTCTCAGCAATAAATTGAAGTAGTCATTTTCTCGATGACTGTTTCATATAATTGTGAAGGAAATTGGGCCTCTTCTGTTTTACATGGTTTATGCATAGCTGTCCTGACACTGTAGGGTTGAGGCCTGGAGTTTCGGTTACTGCAACACCTCCTTTCCCAGGTCAGGCGGCTGGAAAAGAAGCTCACATCATTACCTGTGCACCACAGTGCAGACAGCTGCTGAGATGCTTTTTGCTGTTGTGCTGTGTGTCTTTTGGGGTTTTTTGGTCAAATAATTTATTCTCTATCACATCGAGACTCTCTCTCCACTCCGTTACATATTCCATATGCAGTGTTGGGGAGTAACGGAATACATGTACCGCCGTTACGTATTTAAAATACAAAATATGAGTAACTGTATTCCGTTACA